TCTCACTTAAAAACTGGTTCTGAAAACGAGCGTCCATCTGTCCAATTTGCAAGTGTTTTTGAGTCGGATTAATTTGCAGCTGGTGAATATCAAACCCTTGTAATTTAAACAAATTTGATCACAATTGAGAAATTGTATCTACTTAAAAATGCCCCCTTTCAACAAAGGGGGACAATTTTTCAAAGTAGGTTAAGTGAATTGAATTCTCGACTAATCAGAAGGTTTTAAAATTCGAAATCCACAACGAACGCTCAAGAGCTAATTTACAAATAAAAATTACTGCTTTCATTTATAGAGTACACAGCTTTTTAGTAGATAACAAAGGGAAGACGATTGTTAAGTAGATCCGAGAGATTTTTCTGAAGCTTTGGACCAAAGAAGATATAATTCTCGGACTATTTTTTAGAGTTTTTTTCGAAACCTGTTAAATGAAAAGATTGAACTAACTTGAATTGGATGAAATTTCTTCCAAAAGCAATTATCCTAACCTTTCTTCCAAAACCGGAACAACCTATTTCTGTACACCAATATCTCTTTGAACAAACGTTGCCAATACTTGTATTCAATAGTTGCCAAATAACACTACTTCTTAGGAAAACTATTCTAAGGAGAATGAAGACCACCTAGTTTTGCTTCTAAGTTATCTCAAAGTAAAGGTCATCAAAAAATGCATATTCTTCTCCGCCTACGCCAAGCTTGAACTTTAATATTTCTAATTTTTTTTCTAACAAGCTAAAAGACAAAATGGGATCTTGAAGGCTTTGCGCTGTCAATTTTACAAGCTCATTCTAAAATCAAGGCTTCACCTCATTTTAAGAAGAACCAAATATTGAAGATTTCAACGTCATTATTAAAAATGTTTCCTAATTCTCATTAATGCATAAATGCTTTTCCGTTTTTGCTTTTTTTTCTTCAAAATTTAATCGATTTAGAGTATTTCATTTAATAAAGTTTTATGCCTTTTCCAGAAAAAATTTTTTCGAAAGAAATAGGAGGAAAAATATTTTGATAGATATGTTTTTGATTATGGATAGGTTACAAAATTTTTTTTATACTTCAAAATTCAGATGGAAACAATGATCGGTAAATTATATTGCCGCATATATTTTTTGCCTCTAATAATCAAGAGCCCTGTTAAGTCACATTTGATTTTTTCATTAGATTTTTAAGAAAAAAAAATCACTAAATTGGCAATCGACTAAATTATTTACTAGTTCAGAAAAGACCAACGATTTTGATTGATGAGAGAAAAAAGGCAATTTTTGTAATGGAAACAATTTATATTATGAATATCTTATATCTAGGAGTTCTGTAATTTTCCGGAGTAAATGAAGAAACGAAACTCGATGAATTGATGCGCAAAATAAAAACTAGGTTTAGTGTTTATCTTAATGCATGTCAATGTAATAAGAAAATAGAAATAAATTAGTTAAAATTACCAAAATGCCGAATTCGCGGAAGAATGAAGTTTTCCCGAAAAAACCAGTGGATAAACTTTTCTAATGAAAACATCAAAAGAGTTAAATTTTGAAATTTGGTAATTAAAATTTTATAAAATTTGGTTAGAAGCAAACTTGATGAAGGCAAATTTAGATATAAAATCTACGTTTTATGATTTGAATTTTTCCATTCCTTCCTGGTATTTGACATCTCGCCATTTCAGAAAAAAAGTTTTAAATGTTGCAAAAAGTTGCAATGCATCTATAGACAGGGTGATTTTCAAAGTTTTCCCCGTCCAATTTACCAATCAAACTTGCCTGTTCGTTTGCTTCAAAAGCACTTTTTGAAATTTTTAAAGATTAATCAATTAAAAACGAATGTATTAAAATCATATCAAATTGTTAAGACACTATGATGGGCCTGGCCTCTACCTGATCTGCCAATGATGAAATGGCTTGTCAAATCATGATAAAAAACAAAAGCTTCATTTCAAACCTACCCGGGTTCACCGAAAAAAAACGCTTATCTTACATTTCCATACACCGAAAAGGCTTATCATACAATTCCATACATCAAATGTATGGAAAAATGCTATTCATACAATTTTCATACCATTTCAAAAAATCATTAAAAAAAGATTCCAACTAGTTTCTGCGGCTAATTAAACCAAACAAAACAGTCTGTTGATGAAACAGTCTGTTGATTTCTTTTTTTGGAAAAAATGGTTATCATAAATTTTCCATATAAAAAAATTGAATGACTAGTTGGTTACAACAAAAATTTTTCGAAGTAATATTGAAATTGCCCCCAACTTTTTTCTATTTTTTTTTCAACCGCAAATCATTTTTTGTACCCAAACAAACATTTTCCAAAAAAAATTGCATGCAAATTTTAATTTTTTTTCTGCATAACGTAGTCCTAGATACACAAAAATTGGATTTTTCCCCGTTCCGCTGGATAACTTTTTCAAACAGGCTAAAAACTCCTTCTTCTTTTGCATGGCATGTTTATATATGCCTTGATCAATGTCTGATAATTTGAAAATTCTAATTTCAAAAATAATCATCTTTGAAATTTTTTGCCAAACTTTTTAAGTTTGATGCTTTTATTATATGATTTGTTAAGAGAACTCTTACACAATTCAGGTCGTTTCCAATGCATTGAAAATTCCAGATGATGAACCCTTTGGTTTTGAGAACTGAACCACTCTAGTTTTGAGTAAACTATGGTATAAGTCACTTGTGTTCGGTCATGAACACATCCCAAAAATTATGAGAATTTTTTTTATAAATCAACTTTTTGGTTTATGAAAAAATGCTCGTCCTACAATTTCCATTTATAAAAAAATGTTTAAATTTTTCCGTATCTATGGAATTCTAAGAAATTGTATGATAAGCTATTTTCCATATATATGAAAATTGTATGGTACGTTTTATGGTCAACCTGGAAAACCAACAGAACACTTATGACAAAAATTTCCGGGTAAACAATTAGAAATTATCTTGATTCTGTAAACTTGTCATTTTGCTTAAAAGTGTTAAATTATTGAAATTTGTCGTTTTGTTCTCGGATGATACGTTTAATTCTGTTGTATTTTTAAAACACTGTTTTAATATACTTTTTTTGAGCTAGAAGCAAGGTTGTCAGAACATTTGTGAAGCTTGGTCATCAACTGATTATTATTATGTTTACACCAGTTGAACAGACTTTCAGGTCAAACAACAGATGCCGTACTGTTATTTATGATTGTCCCTTTTTCCATACTTTTCCTAATCACTATTGAGCTGTTCGACGGGACTTTTTGATAGCTAAAACTTATAAATATTTGCTTTTAAAAGGTATCTAACAAGGTATTTCTGCTTGAGTCCCGGAGCTTCTCAGAAAATAATCTACTGTGGCATATTTTGCAATTGATTATGTCTTCAGCGCAGCTGAATCTGAAAAAGAGTATAAATCACTTCAAATGAAAGCTTTTTGGGATAAAAGTGTGATTAAGTTAGTCAATTCAAAAACGAGGGAGAATATGGAGTCAAACTAAATGATTTTCAGCTTCCAAATACATGTCGACCATAATGGCTTGATAAGAATCCTGTAAATAAAAGTACGCCCAGTTTCAAAAATTAGCCCGGTGACAAGTTATTTGAAATTTGCCATTTTTAAATAGTTTATTAAGAAAGATATAAAATATTTAAAAGCGGCATACTATTTTTTTTTCGAGGAACAACCGGATATTTTTGTTATTTTTCCAATGAACAATTGGAAAGAGGGGGTGCGCAATTGTTTATTGACAATAAACAATTGGAACTAGAAGCAGGAGGGCTGGATGTGAGGAGGAAGGGGCGGCGGAGGGGGGGGGGGTTTCGGAACATTCGGTTTCGAAACATTCAGATTTTGAGCTCCCTTAACTATAACATTACTTTTGAGTCCATCTCTAGAAAATCTTAAGGTTTTTTCATATTAAAATTTGCAAAATAAGGTGCTTAGAAACTCTTTTGGAAAATTTGAGCATCCAAATTTTGAGAAAGACTGTTTTCTGCAAAACTTGCAAAACTGGGTTTTTCTAAGTTAAATACTTAATTAGGATCCAAGTCACTCACATTATAAAAGACGGCGAAATTACTTTCTTATTTTTTCTACGTTATTTCAATGAATAAATTCAGCTGCCATCCGTCTTTCAAGTCATAAATCATTTTTTGAGCAAAATATTTTTGTTACTTTTGGTCGCATTTGCATTTGTCAGAGAAAATGAAACGCGAAATTGATCAATAAATCTTTGTTCATTTCACAGAATGTGGTCACTTCAATTTTTATCTTGTTCGATTTGCAACCTTATCGAATTTACCTTCTACTATTGAACTTTCCTTAGTCGTAAGATGAAAAAAAAATCACTAAGGGTTTGTTATCAACAACATCAAAGATTAATAACGGATGCTAAGAATTTGAAGGAAAGTAAAAAAATTAGTCCAACCTCTGCTATTTTAGTCCAAACTATGCTATTTTTTTTTGGTTTCGATGTTGCTATATTAAACTTTCCTCCTCCCAACACCAAGATGCTTTCAGTAAATCTCTTTTTTTTAAGGTTGTCTTCGCACTTTTGCAGAACTCCAATATAAGTACAATAATTCTGAACATTAAAATTCCAAATTTCAAGGGAAAGTAGGAATAACCGTGATTTGTTCCAACATCTCAAAAAAAAGAAGGAGATATCCTGGCTAAATTTTTCGATCACTTCAGGTTACTCACAAAAAGAAAATGGTATCATGTGAAAGTCCTCCTCTAAGTCGTTTATTTATATTAGTGAAAACACTTTCAATATTTTTGTAGTATTTAGTTTCTCAAATTAGCGAGTGAAAATAACAGAGAGGAATAAGTGGGAATGGGTACTGACAAACAAGGCTTCAAAAAATTTTTCATAAATTCTCAAGTAGGTTTGCAACCACCCCTTCCTCCCTGTTTTCGTTAGGAAATTTGTTTTTGAAATGTTTTTCCAAATAAATTCTAGGTCAGAACATTGTGTGTAACAGTAACAACTATACTTGAAAAGAAAACTTTTTTTTCAGGAATTCGTCTCACAATGAATTTTCTCCTACCAAATACAGTGTGGGAAGTTCTCAACCTCAGTTCGAAACACGTGTGTGAAGACTACGGCGACGGAATCGGCAACTTCTCCGCTATAATTTATTCAATTCGGGTTCGGAGACGAAGTCAATTCTATGTAGCCAACATTATCATACCGAGCGTCGCAATCAGCTACTTAACAGTGTTTAACTTCATAATACCATGTGAGGCTGGTGAAAAAATTAGCTACGGGGTCACTATTTTTCTGTCTCAAACCGTTAACTTGATGCTAGTTTCCGAACTTATGCCACGAGGCGGGAAAAGTGTCCCGATTTTGGGACAATACCTGCTAACTTCAATAATTTTCATCGTTTTGTGTCTTTTGACGACGATTGAAATCATCTCGATTTACGCCAACCCATTCCCAGAAAACGCTATAGGTCAACGCAAACTGAAGTTTATTTTGAAAAGGTTAACCCCAATTATGGGGCCAAAACTGCCGAGAAAAATGAAAAAGGTATGCAAGGTCAACCCTGAAATCGAAACTGCAATTGCCAATCTGCATGTCAATGGAAACGCTGTTCTAAAGGAACAAAAACGCGACCCAAAGAAAACCAATGGACAAATTCACTACTCTACAAAGACAACTTGCAATAACAACGAGGAATACCAGAAGATGACCAAGCGTGAAGAAATAATTATTGCATGCGAAACTCTGAACAGATTCGGGCTCTTTTGTTCGTTCACGTTTTTGACTGTCCTGACTTTTGTTTACATAATGTTGTTGACTCACCAATCAGGCGCGGAGCCTCCGCAAAATTTGATGTTGGCCGTTTGAAAACAAATAATTACCCAGGAAAACTAACTTTAGACCATGTGTATCAACTTAAGTGTTTTAGTTTGTAACTATTTTGAAAATGAAATATTATGTTTTTCACTTTTTTTATTAAAAAGGATAAAGCATAAAAAAATTGAAAATGCACATCCAGATAACAAACAAACTCTATGACTGGATTAAAAAATTTACCGAAAGTTCCAAGTATTCTAAAGGAAGAAGATAAAGCAACCATCAAGATCAAACCATGTTAAGAAGCTCCTTTTGACGGTTTTATCAATAAGCGATAATTTTTGATCATTTAGTTTGCGTGCTTTTGCTTTTCCTCAAAAAACAGAAGTAAGACTGCATAGCAAATCAATGTTGCAGCAAACTGCAGTTTTAAAGCATAAAAATTTGCGATAATCAGAGCATAGGAGTAAGTTTTTCAATGGCAACAGCCAAAATGATGCAAAAACTGGATCATGGTCTTGAGAAAAAAAATGTTTTCTTTTGCAGTTTTATATTGCAGTTTCATTGCAAGGACTAATCCGATATAAATTTTCAGGATAATTGAATTACCGAAAATTATACAAAAGGCCAAAAATCATAAACAATTTTTTAAAAATCTACAACAATTAAACTGAGTCTATGAACAAGTTTTTTAAAATAGCATTTAATTGAAAAACGATCAAAACGATGTATTTCAGAGGAAAACAGACATACCCGCTGTTTCTACGAAATCCATTCTCCAATTAAAAAACCCTTCTATCCAATTTAAAAAGGAAAAAATTTTAAAGCGTTTTTTTTTCTTCAAAAAACAGATTTAATAAACAAATTCAAGCGAAAAATAATGAAACCTTAAAAACGGCTCCAACCAAAATTTTTTTGATTATTTCGTCAATTTTTAAGGTGAATTACTGCTTTTTAAGGTCTGTGGAGTAGTGTTTGCTTTCAAAAAATTAATGCATGTTTCGAACAAATACAAGTTTTGTTTTAGAGAAATGAAAGAAAAAAGATATATATTTTTTTAAAAATCATCGCCTACACGTCATATAAAACTCAAAATGACACAATTTTCTACTATTAATGTTGCAATTATGATAAATTACTTAAGCTAACCAATTTAGAACAACTTATAAGACTGATTAAATCTCCAAGTACGCATTAATAGCGCGAAACAACTTGCGCGTTAATTGTCCCAAACTGCGCATAATGACAATCTTTAAGCCCCCTTCATTTAACCAAAAATAACCACAGGTAAAATATCTTTTTAAATTTGGGCTCAAGACAACAATACCCTTTGACGTATTTAGAAAAATTCTGTCAAAAATGGCTAGTTAAAGAGTCGAAATATGTCTGGAAAAAAAAACCATTAGTACAAATGTTTCATCCCTTTCTTTGGAAATCGGAACAAAGTTTTTTAAAATGATCTTACAGTGCAGTGGGACATAGACGCGATCTTGTTAAGAAATTTTGTTTCTTTTTCAATTTTTCAAGCAAGAAGCAGTATAGAAACTCCAAAAGTCAAATGAAACAGTCAAGAGATTTTCTTGTTGTTCAGAAAAAAATGAGGATTATATATACCCATGGTGGTTTTTTATTCAGACCAATTTTAGAATAGTTGACTGCGCATGGTCATTGATGCAGAATTTTTGCCATTGGCAAGTGAGTATGCTTCCACTTGACTAAAGTGTGACTTTGCTACTAGAATAATTTTTTAATGAGTTTGTTTCAATACGCGAATTATTTATGCGTAGCAAATTATCCGCACTAATAATCATTCAAAATTAAATTGAGGCGAACTAATGCTTCTAATTAATTCCCATAAACAACTCAAGTTCAAATACTTTCATATATTCAGCCTAAAAATTGTAGTTTGTCATTATTTCATATAGCAAAAACGACACGACACCAAATAATAGGGAAAGTCGGAACATTCAGGGCTTTGCACTGAGACGAGCAGTCTTGATAAAAATTGACTTTTTTTACTTTATGAAAGCAGACTGAAAACATGTAATAGATAACTCACAGCTAAATATCTTCAAAGATTCAATACTAATTCAGTTTTGATTTATGAAATTTTCAATATATAGATTTTTTTCAGTTATAAATCAATGTCAAATCAGAGTAAACGCTTGAGAACTTTTACTTTTTACTTAAACACCATGCTTATCAAAAATCTCAATTACTGAAGTTGATATTCGGCGAATTATAACAGCACTGGTCGAGGTCCGGCACTCATAAAAAAAAACAGCGCGAGCCAAATTTGGCCATTCTTGACCAGCGCGACTTTATAATGGCAATTCCAGACTGGCGCGACCGCAAATTGGCAATTGAAGACCGACACGAGTGATAAAATTCATCGCTGCCTAGGCCAATCAACAAACCGTCGGGACCTGCGCGAGATAGGTTAATGGCGCAACCGGCACGACTGAGAATAAACCACCGCGACATGCGCGACTGAGCAAAATACTATAAGTCCTTTCCTAAGTCGCGCCGCTGAAGTCTCTATTTAAGTCGCGCCATCAGTTTTTTCTTTATTCGCGCAGTCAATCTTTTATAAAGTCTGCTGAACTTACCAAAATACTGAAGCCGCGACTTGAGGAAAGACTGGCACCGCGACTTAAGAAAAGACTGACGGCTCAACTTACGAAAAAACTGACGGCGCGATTTACAAAAAAAACTAAAGCGGCGCGACTTAATAAAAAACTGACGTCCCGATTTACAAAAAAATCGACGGTGCGACTTAAGAAAAGACTTAAGCGGCGCGACTTACGAAAAGACTGACGGCGCGACTTAAGAAAAAACTTAAGCGGCGCAACTTAACAAAAGACTGACAGCGTGACTTAAGAAAAGACTGACGGCGAGACTTAAGAAAAGACTTAAGCGGCGCGACTTACAAAAAGACTGACGGCGCGAATTAAGAAAAATTTGACGACGCAACTTAAAAAAAGACTGACGGCGCAATTTTAAATTGCGGCGTGACCTCGAAATTCAATCTAAAAACGGTATGCGGCGCGACTTGCAAAGTCTTTTCTTAAGCTGCGGATCTCGACCCGGGAGGTGATTTTTCGAAATGGTTCCGTACAGGTATCAAACGCCTGGTCGCAAACTGGTCGGAGGTTTGTTTTCCACAATTTATCCTAGATGCCTCAGAAGTGTTATAGAACTGTGACAGATTTCAATTTTTCAAGATCAGAGATAAAGTGACGTTCTCGAGAAATAAAATTTGGAATTCAGTGAAGCATTGGCAAAACGGTACTGATTTGCACTGCTTAATTAATCTCGAGTTGATTTTTTCTACAAGGTTTTTCAATCAAAGCGAATACTCGTTTCAAACCAAACCGATATCTATTTGGTTTATTGGCGGGGTGAATAATAATTGAGAATAATCTAAATTTTGTTAATCAGTTGTAATTTTAAGACTGCTTCTTGCCTTGTACGGCTTCAATCTCTCGAGCTTAGTTTAAAAACCCCCTTGATTGAGAAGGGGGACCGAACGTTTAGCAGACCATTCTTTTAGCATAAAAAGTGAAAAATGAGTCTCTTATCAGACCAACGTAATGAAGTGATGAATAGTTGATTAACATACTCAAAAATACGCTCAGTCTGGGGACAAATTTCCCCAATTAAGACAATTACATCACGACTTGTCAACAAAACTATCAACTTCAAAAACAAAACAGTCTAAAATAGCGGCAAAACAAAGATTTACGCGCACAATAACACTCGTGTTGAATTGAAGCGCAGCGGAGCAAACGGTCGCTAATCGTCAATGCCGCGTTTGAAGTTAGCTATCACACTTTATTCTTGTTCTGAGTCTGCTAAAAAGCCGGTCTGCTAAAAAACCAGTCTGCTAAATTCCCTAGACCCATTGAGAAGGTATTTTTTGTTGACGCTTTATGTTGACAGACAAGTAGACAAGTAGTAATTGGAGTGCAGATTAATTAATGTTTAACAATGAATTTGACAATTTCAATTTTTAAAGGTTTTCACTTTGCTTATTCAAAACTGCCTCTGCAATTTCCCGACGAGGCCGAAGTTTTTTAAAACTATCAATTAAAAACGAATGCTGTAGGTTTTTGGTCTCGGAAAATTAACGACGTGGAGCAAATTTGTATTTGATTAAGAACGAGTGCTTCAAAACTTCTTCAAAAATCATAGTTGCCTTAAATCAAATTGTGGCATAAAAACATGCAGTCCATGCAATTTTTGCTGAATCGCCGGTTGAAGTTTCCAATTAGAAAGTGTTTATATGCGACTGTGAGTTGGAATAAGTGATACGAACCCAATAACCCAAAGAAAAGTATACAAACCCCCATTTTTAAGTAGCAATCGGAGGTTCTCTTATGCAGTTTTTTCAGCATATAAACTTCCTCCGACAACAAACTATGGGCTAAGCATCAATGCCCATTATAGGCACTCGGATCTTGCTAGCTTGATCACTGATTGTATAAATTTATTTTTACTTTTTCAGAAAAATCAACCAAATCAATTAAAACAAATAGTTTCTTTTTAAAACTTCGAAGTAATAAAATTTGTCAAACAGTTTTGAATGATGAAGCCGCCGGGAGTTTAAGCGAAAAGATTTATTACCGGAATTTAATTTGTAAACTCCACCACATAAAAACTAATCATGAACAATTGCAAACCTTTTCATCAACAATTAAAAAAGCTTGATCAATACCATAAGAAAAACTTAAAGCACGCATACTGTTCTAAAACTTGAATAAAACATAGAATGTTCATGACAAGAAAAAAATTTCATGAAACAATGAGTTGCATAAGAGTTGCAAGAAAAGCTCATATGCAAAATTCATATGTTGAATCATTTTTGAAAAAAAAGCAAAAAACAAAGAAAAGCAAAAAAATTTTGAAACGCAACTGGTCTTTCAATTATGTAAAATATGTAGTTATAACAGCAAAGCTAGAGAAAAATAACTTCAAATATCAGCCCAGCTAAATCTATTTTTTTATGATGATTCAAGTTTCCTTTGCGTTCTCTTGAATATTAAAATCAATTATGCCATTTAGGTAGGTTCTTTTGTTCTGTTTT